CTCTCCCTTCATCGCCAACTGGTACGTGGCCACCTGAGGCGCGTAGGCAGAACACAAATACTCCAGTAATCTCTGCTGCTTCTGCATCCATTCATCCATCAACCAGTCGGGCCAGGTCTGGCTGACGGACGTCCGCCTCTCTGTCTGGGAGCTCTGCTCGTCCGGCAGCCTGGGCCCGTCCACCTGCTCCGGAATCTTCATGCAGACAAGTCCCCTCATCTGGGAAGCCTCATCCGGAGAAATGGTCCCCGGGCTCCAGAACGAAGTTGGGCACGTCTGTGGCTCCAAGGACAAAAGGGCCTCACGCAGTCGACAACCAGACGGACGGGTCGTAGTAGACGGCCTTCCCCGAGTCCTGGTGACGCATCAGAAGAGCCTCCATCTCGGACTGGTTAGGTTTTCTCGACCTCCTCCTCTCCCTTCATCACCAACTGGTACGTGGCCACCTGAGGCGCGTAGGCAGAACACAAATACTCCAGTAATTGCTGCTGCTTCTGCATCCATTCATCCATCAACCAGTCGGACCAGGCATGGCAGACGGACGGTCTCCTTTCCGCCTGGGAGCTCTGCTCGTCCACCAGCTCCAGACTCTCCATGCAGACAAGTCAGCCACTCTGGGAAGCCTCGGCCGGAGAAATGGTCCCCGGACTCCAGGACGATGGAGGCCACGTCGGCGGCTTCAAGGACAAAAGAGACCCACTCAGTCGACAACCAGACGGACGGGTAGTAGCAGACTGCCTTCTCCGAGTCCTAGTGACGCAGCAGAAGAGCGTCCATCTCGGATTGCTTAAATGTTCTCCTCCTCCTCCTCTACCTTCATCGCCAACTGGCACGTGGCCACCTGAGGCGCGTAGGCAGAACACAAATACTCCAGTAATTGCTGCTGCTTCTGCATCCATTCATCCATCAACCAGTCGGGCCAGGTCCGGCTGACGGACGTTCGCCTCTTGGCCTGGGAGCTCTGCTCGTCCGGCAGCCTGGGCCTGTCCACCTGCTCCGGAATCTTCATGCAGACAAGTCCGCTCCTCTGGGAAGCCTCGGCCGGAGAAATGGTCCCAGTGCTCCAGGACAACGGAGGCCACGTAGCCGGCTCCAAGGACAAAAGAGACAAACCCAATCGACAACCAGACGGACGGGTAGTAGCAGACGGCCTTCCCCGAGTCCTGGTGACGCATCAGAAGAGCCTCCATCTCGGACTGGTTAGGTTTTCTCGACCTCCTCCTCTCCCTTCATCACCAACTGGTACGTGGCCACCTGAGGCGCGTAGGCAGAACACAAATACTCCAGTAATCGCTGCTGCTGCTGCATCCATTCATCCATCAACCAGTCGGGCCAGGCCCAGCAGACGAACGATATCCTCTCCGCCTGGGAGCTCTGCTCGTCCACCAGCTCCAGACTCTCCATGTAGACA